TTGTTCCCCGTGCTGCCCTCCTCAAACCAAAAGCGGCCTTCCAAGAATATGGTCAGCTACTCTGACCCGCAGTGTTGCGATGTTTCCTAAATTACCTTTCATTTCTTGCATGCCCAGCATACCACCAGAAACCGAAAGAAAGCGGCCTCAAAAACGATCTTCAAAGATATGGCCCATTGCTCTGTGTGTGTCGCTTCATCGAATTGGCTTCAAGGGACACCAAAACTTGGTTGCTTTCTGCTCCCCTGCTAAAAGTTTAACTTTTAGTGGTTTTAAACGGAAAACCCACTAATTGGCAACAAGTGAAAGTCCGAACATCCCTTGGCAAAATGCACCAAAGAAAAGGACACCAACCCTACGGCCCCAGCAACGCCCTTTTTAGCAACGCCCTTTTTCCTCCCGCCGTTCCCCCGCAGCTCTATGCAGCCGAAGGGCTCGGGCTCCGGGTCCACCTGGTTGAAGAAGTCCTCATGCGGAGACCGGAGACGGGATGGGGAGGGCAGAAAGGGTAGGTGTCCAACAACCGGTTTATTTCCCCTTGGTTTTAAAAGGAATTCATCACTACTGAACATATTGTTACTTTTTCCTGGAAATGGAAGTTGACTTCCCAAGTAATGTTAACCTGGATGAAGTTAAACCCCTGGTTGATTTTGATTGAGGGGTGTCCCCTTTTAGTGAGTGGGGGAAAAATCACTTTTGGAGGGAACACCCTCCCCCAATAAATGGGACGGGGTTGTTAACCCTGGGTCCACATTAACATGGAACCTTACTTTCTGACACCTATTAACATACACTGGGGAGGCCAACACTCCCACCCTTTTCACATGGAACTTGACGTTCGGGGGCGCGGGGGTCCTAGTGTTCGGCCCATTTTCCTTTTAAGGGACCCCGAACGTCAGGTTGTCAGGTTCCACGTGGGGCGTGATCAAAACTATGGCCGCCTGTGAAGAATGGAATGCCAAAAAGTGGCCCTAATTTTGGCAACCCCCCCATGTGTCAAAACAGGGGTACCCCCAAAGAGGGGTTCGGTTTCCCTTTCGAACCATCTCCAAAGGGTACGCAAAAAGATTGGGGTTCACAAGATGGTGCCAAAAAGGAGCCCTGATTTTGGCCGCCCAAAAACATGACCCGCCTGTGTCCCACAAAAGGGCAGACACCTTCTCATGTAAACAGGCGGGGTGTGTCAAAATAGGAGAGCGCAAAAATGGTGTCCCTTTCCGGATGCCCTCTAAAACAAGGTTCCAAATTCCCTGGTTTCAGGGGGACATTTTGGTCCCATATTGGTGTCTTGTTGAGCGTGCCCTTTTCAGGTTTGTTGAAAGGGAAGCCAATGGGAACGCCACCGTTTTGAGTCCCAGTCCCCTTATTTTGACACATACCCATATAAATTATAAAGGGGGCGGTTGGTCAAAGAAATCTGCACGAATCCGTCCCACCCCCCAATCAGCGAGCTCAGCACAAGTCATGAGTGGGAGACTGGGTCTCTCTGCATGGCACCCGCCTCTTTCTTGGGGCAGTTTCAAGCTGGAATCTTTGTCGGGTACGCGCAAAAAAGGGCTAGTTTACAACGGAAACAAAGAGGCAAGCCACTTTTTGGGAGGTCCGCTTGGTGCAACCTGTATCTCACTTGCCCTAAAAAGCAGAAGCCAGATCCACAGAAGCCTGTCAAACCGTTTGGGCGATTCAAAAGCAACAGCCAGGGTCCACTCCAGGGCTACAAGGCAGACCTTTAGGTTCTTTTTTGTGCCTAAAACAAATTGGGGGCTGCAACCAAGCACCCACTTTCGGATGCTTAAAAGGAATTCCGAATAGAACCAACCACGAGGGTCGGAATGAATGATCTGCTGAACCGAAAAGCTCGCAAACCCCTCCAAAGACACCTCATTTTGGGCCCGGGCAACCCGGTCCCAATTTTGGGCCCGGGCAACCCCTTTGTGTGTTCCGAGTTGACAAAATGTGCAGCTGCTTTGCCCAAAAAGTAGAGGAACCACACATTACGCTGTTCACCTCTAGCACGGGCCTTATGCGTGCCGCTATCTGGTGCCCGTGCAGTTATAACTCACCAGAGAAAGGGCATGGGAGCAGTGAAACCGGCTAGTTTGTGTAGGAAAAGTTTTTTTTCCAAGGAATTTAGTTTGATTTTTTTGGAGAATCCCGAGACTCTTCAAAGCACCACATTGGTGCTACTGGTACCTTAATCGCGAAACGGTGCATCCTTTACGCCGCATAAGGATTAGTGCCAAAATGGGAGGATTGCCCAGCTCCACTGGGCAGCTCCCCTCAGCAGCTGATGGGAGTAGAATTGATGCCACTCCCACAGCGAGGGAGGAATCCTCCCACCTCACCGGATGCCCTCCCGGCATCATGGGTGAGGAAGGAAAGTAGCGAAGATCAGCTTGATCAATTCGCCTTCGACTGAGGGGAAGACCCGGTTCTCAGTCGGAAATTGCGGGTCCGGATGAGTAAGTTCATCCGCCCATGTGTTAAAGTCGCGCTTCACATGCGACGGTCCTAACATGACCTGGTGGTCATGCAGTGTTAACACAATTTCCATGAGGATGGCCGCATTGGGCATCCTGCGAGTGGTATCGTTAAGCAGGGAGAAACGTTTCCCTGGTTATCACTAGCAACCAGAATCCTAGTGTGAGAAACCGAGCCGGCTGCACAGAGCAGAACAGCCCTCACCAAAAGGAGGAGGCCGAAAAGCTCCAAGGCCGCTATCGCCCGCTGCGGGTCCCCAGTAGTGAAGGCCCACGGCTCGCCCTCCGGTGTGATTCTGTGTTGGAACCACTTCACTCGGGAATTGTCGGGGTTGGGCACGTCCGAGCACCAACCACCAACCCATGCATGGTCCGCCTGTTTGCCAGCTCCCGCATCAGATGCCCCCGTCCATGGACGTGTGGGAGCAAATGGAGATGCCAGTGGGAACCTCTGGTTGAAGAGCTTCCCCAGAAGGATGGCCAGAGCACGAACCAGCTTCGGTGGCCTGCCCGAAGTGGTGCAGGCCTTCTTCCAGCTCCAAAAGGGCGGGAGGAAAGGTTTCGTCAATGGACACGCCGAAGTAGCCCATTGAATCCGGCCCAGGGCTTGTTCCACCTCCTTGCTGGTAAAGATGTCCCCCTGGGCCAACCGTTTGAGAGTGGCCAGGATTATGACGTGCTTGACTGGAGCCAGCAGCACACAGGGCGTGATGGGGTCCACCACGAATCCCAACCAGGTATTGACCGGGGAGAGCGCCGTCTTCTTCCAAGAAAGCGGGACTCCCAGCGCCAGACGAGTGGCCAGGATGGCTGTGGCGTCCCAGTCCGCCCTGCTGCATCTGAGGACCCAGCAGTAGTCGTCCACAAAGACTAAGTGCCAGTCCACCTGAGGGAAGATGTAGTACAAGAGTCTGAGCACCAAGGATGCCTTTCTTCCCCAGTACAGTTGTGCCGAGGCCATGCCGTACGTGCCCACTCTGTTGACCCACCACCGGGTTTGGATGCAGGCCACCTGGTATTTCCAGTCTTTCGGGAGCACTTTTATACGCCTGTGGGCCTTGGTGACATCCGCCTTGAGGATGATGAAGGTTTCCCCCTGTGTCGGCGGCTGCCACGTCAGGGGTTCCCCCCTGCTCCCCCCAGGGCGTTCCGTGCCTGGGGGGGTTGGCCTCGGCACCTGGGAGTGGCCCCTTATCTGAGGGTGTCCAGGCCGCCGGAGGTCTCCATCATCCGCCTGCCCCTATCAGGGCCCTCGGCACCTGGGGGCAGGCTGGTGCTGTGGGGGTCCCTCTCAGGGCCCTCGGCACCTGGGGACTGCCCCTGCACCGGCTGGTGAACATCCCGAGGTTCCTCATCAGTGCCCGAGGATGGGGCTCGGAGTAGATGAGGATGGTCCGCCGCTGTCCTGAGCCAGTGGATGGCATCGAGGCAGTCTCCAACCATCGGTGCGGTGGTCTTCTCCTCCGTGTGAGCCTGGATGTGTGCGTTTGCTCCCCCTTTTGAGCCATCATAGATCGTCCTGATCTTGTCCGACCCATCAATCCCTGCAAGGGGGCCCAGGCAAAGTTCCTCCGGTTTGCAGCGGCACCTCTCTGCCGCCTCGGAGCGAGTGAAGGGCCCGTCCACCATGTCCAAGGCTCGTTCCTCGTAAAAGGTTGATTCGATTTCCTTGGCAAAGAGTTCAGCCGTTGGGTAGTTATCATGAGCCACTGGCGGGGGGGGGATCTTCCCCCAGCCAGGCTTCTCCCTTAAGCTCCTCCTTAGTGGGCCAAACTCCCGGGGAGGTCCAGGTAGGGTCCGAGACTTTCAAGGGGACCCCCTCTTTCAGTGTTAGGGGGAACTCCCAATCAGGGTCACCTGAAAGGGATGCCAAGTGCGACACTAAGTCCAGGAGGAAGGGTTGTCCTGGGCATCGTTCATGGAGGCTCAGGGATGTTCTCCATCCACGGGAAGATGTCCAATCCCGGTGACGGCTCCGTTGGACTTGTCAGGGGGGCAGCTGAAAGGCGTTGGCCCCCTTCATTCAGCCCCACCGAGCTCTTGTGGAAAACCACCGGGTCCTGCTTGATGATGTTGGGCGCCGGAAGTGGGATCGGCTGCTTCCTGGGAGTGTCCCTTGGCGTTGCGGTGTGCTGCCAGTCATCCGGCACTCGGGCCTTCTGGGTGCGGCCCCCCGTGTCAGGGCCCTCGGCACCTGCAGGGAACCGTCCCGTCCCCGCCATATCAGGGCCCTCGGCACCTGTGGCTCGGGACTGAGGCGCCGCCGTTGTGCCGGTTGTGTGGCTGTTCTGATCACGGCGAGGGCGTTGTGCACGCTGGTTCTGCCGTCCCCATCCTTGTTCCGCCGAGGATGGCCGCCACCTGGGTCAGGGCCCTCGGGGGGGCTTCTGTGCCTGCTTGGGGCGTTTGCGCCCCTTCTCGCCCCCCCGAACCTTATCAGGGCCCTCGGCACCTGAGGCCTCCCGGGGGGTAGGGGTCAGCGCCCCTAGTCAACCCGGGCAGTCCTGCGGGTGGTCCCCCAGGCAGACGCGGCCCATTGCCAGGATGAGGTTGCACTTGTGGGTGCGGCCGCAGTTGCCCGGGCAGCGCCCGCACATCCAGTTGTTACAGAACTGGTTCCCTTTCGGGTCGGTGGCTGCCTGCTTGTTACCGCCCCGGGACGCCTGATTGTTCAGGTGGGGGATCTTACCCTTCCCTTTGTTCCCAGGCTTGCCCTTGGACTTCCCCTTGCCCTTGGACTTGTTCTTGCCCTTCTGAGGTGGTGCGTAGTCCATGGATGTCCTGGTTGATGGGCGGCCCCTGGAAAAGGTCTTGATCTTCTCATAGACCTCACGTGTCCAGAACAATGTGTCCTGCCTGACCGACAGCATGGCCGCCTTGAGGGTGTTGCCCTCATGCATCTTCTCGTGCAATTGCCAGGACGTGGTCCTCTGGCGGGGGAAAACGGCCCCCGATGTCCTCACCATAGAACCACTCGTACCAGCTCC